AAACAAAGAAGAAAACAATTAAAAAAAAATATATTAAAAAAAATAAAAATAAAAAAATGTCAAAAAAAAAGAAAAAAGAAAAGAATTTTTTAAAAAAAAGAACAAACGAACGAATAAAAAAACCAATAAAAAAAAATAGAAAAACAATAGAAAAAAAAAAAGATAAAAAAATCACGATCACGAAAGTAAAAATAATCGCACGAAAAAAAAATAACGAAATGAACGAAATGTATAAAATGAAAATAAAATGAATAAAATGACAATAAATTATAAAAGAAAAAAGGAAATTAAAAAAAATTACGAAATAAACGAATAATAATAAAAAAGTTGAAAAAAATTAAATAAAAAAAAATGAAAAAAATATACTAACTGAAAAAATATAGCTGAAAAAAAAATAGAAATATAATAAAAAAATCATGATATAAGGATCGCATGAATGAAAAATTAAAAAAAAATTTTGAAAAAATCGAAAAAAAATATAAAAATAAAAAAATAATATAAAAATATAAATATAAAAAATAAAAAATAAATAATACGAAAAAAAAATATAAAAATATAAAAAATAATATAAAAAAATCAAAAAAAAACAAAATCGAAAAAAAAAATAAAAAATTAAAACAAAAAATCGAAAAAAAATAAAAAATAGAAAATAAAACAACCGGGGAGAAAATAAAGTAAATAAAGATAGATAATTAATTTAATGATCGGGAGAAAATAAAAAAAAAGATATTTAATTAATTTAATAAATAACTGAGGGAAATAAACTAATTTAATTAATATAATGATTAGGAAGAAAATAAAGAAAATAAAGATAATTAATTAATATAATAACCGGGGAAAATAAAGAAAAAATAATTAATTTAAATAAAATAGAAAAAAAAAGATATTTAATTAATTTAATGACCAGGATTAGAAAATAAAAAAAAACTAATATTAAAACAATTGAAGTAAAAATAGTATTATATATCAAATGTATACATGCATGCATGTATGCAGTATTTAATTATATATAGCATTTATCATATTATTAATAAATCCTATATGCAAGCATGCATGTATACAATAACAAATCATATTTGAATTCTTTTTTTAAAAAAATTTTTAAAAAAAAAATAAATAAAATTGTTTTAATTTTTATAATTTGATTTTTATCAAAATTTTTTTACATTTTTATATTAAAAAAAATAAAACTTTTATTTATCAAAATTTATAAATTTATCTACAAATAAGATGACAAAATTTACAACATTAGAAGAAATTGAAACTAAATATCCAGAACGTGAAAATAAAACTAAAGAAGAAAGAAAATAAAGGCAAAAAAATATTAAATAAGCTAGGAAAAGATTTCTTGATCGATGATTGAGAAAACAAAAACCAGTAAAAGCACTAATAGTTGAACAAAGAAATAGAATAAAAGAACAGATTAGAATTAGTAGAAATAATACATATATTGCAAAAAAAGAACAATTAAGATCTCAATTTTTAAAGATAGGGTATTACAATATAGATGATTATACAAAAGATAGAATAAAAAATAGTAGACACATTTGAAAAAATAAATAACATTTGTGAATACTGTTACGCATTAAAGTAGAAGAATAAGATAAAAGGATTCTGTTATTTAAATGGACAAGATATTAGTGCCTTTCTTTTTAGCTTCACAAATTTTATATAATTTACTTACATAAAATAATCCAAAATCAGATAAACCTTATGTAACTCAAATCAGAGCTTACAATCAGGTTTTTTACATTCACATCTTAAAATGTAAAACTTGATGAAGAACTTGCAAATACTAAAAAGAGGATTTACACATTTAGAATTTAAGGTAAATCATATCATTAAATTGGTAGATTAATGCTAAGAGAGGATAATCAAAAACTAACATCTGCTCAGATTTACTTTTATGATTTAAATATAAATAATCAACTTCAAAGAAAATAAGCAATATTTCTAAATTTGAATGCTGAAATACTCACAGTATTATAAGATGAATTATTAGTAAACAATCCATTTATTAAGCAATTTGTAATCTTAGGAGCTAAAGCCAAAAGTGAATCTAATAATTCACAATGAAGAATAATCATTAATACATATAGTAAGGATATGAAACAATATAATATACCAATAGTATCAGAAGTTACAGTTCTCAACTGTAACTATAACATTCAACCTGAATATCAAGATATTATTATTCAAACTTATGAAAGACATATCTCTAAATTAAATGATACTTATGATCTATTACAATATTCTTTGCTATTTCCTTATAGTGAATATGAATGGCATGATAATATTTTAAGAGCAAATATAATTGAATCTATACCTGAATCTGAATTTGTAATTGAAGATAGAATACAAATTGAAGAATAAATTATACAAAATATTAGTTATTCTGAAGTAATCCAATTTTTTAAAAATCTTGATTTAGAATCTGTCTCAACTAAAGAT